TTTTTTAAAAAGTTCATTTCGAAACCAGAAAAGCACAATGAGATTTGGTGTTCTCTAGCTGTTTACACAGAGCAGGTAAGACACCAAAATTCCCCTTTTGTTTGGTTTGGGCTGATCAGTCAAAGCAAGAATGAAAATCCCAATAGATACCTCTAAAAAATAAATGCTGCCCGGAAGGCACGCGGACCCAGGAAGGGAAGGCTGCATTTCTAGGAGAGGAGAAGGAAAACTAGCTTTAACCATTCCTAAAATCCCACCCACAAAAGGACGAGAGAAGGCCAGAAGCAATGAAGACAATCGGGAAAAGCAAGAAAAGGACAGGGAGGGGAGGGGGGTGCGCTTATTTTTTGGAACGTGAATGGCCTGGAGGAAAGGAACAGAAAGAAAGGGGGGGAAATTAAGAGAGATCCTTCCCTAGCCGCATCCTGCCAGAACCCAGGGATTCTAGAAAGCCATGCCTTGCGTTTCCTTTGAAAACACCGACTCGCTTTTATTGATTGGATTCTTTTTTTACCTTTTAATACGTCGTTATAAATATACTTTGTCAAAATATATGATCCTTATTGTCAAAACATTTTTGCACATAAAAGTCATAAATAAGGAAGGTCAAGGTGAGCGGGCGGAGGGGCTTTCTCATTTTGATCATTGTCATTAGGATTGGGGCTTGGCTGGCGGGCCAAGGTAAAGGTGGGTGAGCCTGGGGTGAGGGGGGGTCTGGCACGCACCCCTCGGGAGATTCGTTTGGCTGGCGGGCCAAGGTAAAAGTGGGTGAGCCTGGGGTGGGGGGGGTCTGGCACGAACCCCTCGGGAGATTCGCCCCCCCCCAGGCCAGCAGCTGGAGCAGGTGGGGGGGTCCGTCCTTGCCCGGGCACCCCCTCTCCGCATGGGGGAAGGGAAAGCGCAAAAGAGGAAGACCAAGGGGGGAGCCACCTCTCCAGGTGTGTTTCCTGTCCTTCCCGTCGGGGGCTTTCTCCGCGAGCGTCTCTGGAGGGGCTCCGCCGCGTGTGGGGGGTGCCGTCCACTCCCGCCTCCCCTACCGGCACCCGCAGCCTTCCACCACCATCTCCTGGTAGTTCTTGAGCACCACCTTGTCGTACTCGTCCAGGTAGAGCATGGAGATGGCGCTCAGCTCGGTGGGGACGCAGCACGCCTTGGGGATGGTGCCGTTGACCGAGTTGACCAGGGTCTGGACGATGGCGTGGTTGGTGGAGTTGAGGTGGTCGGCCAAGGGGAAGGGGCAGTCCCCGTGGCAGTAGAAGGCCTGGTAGCCCGGCGGGGCCACGATCCAGTCGTTCCAGCCCACGTCGCTGAAGTCCACGTAGAGCGCGTGGCGGCGGCAGTGGCGCTTGCTC